TCCTCTCCCCAACATTTTGAATTTGAAATTGAAGAATTTGTTCATGCAGGATTGTACCCTGATGCACACAAACCAACTCAGGAATCTTCCAGACTTCCTCACCATCACTCTGCTCTTCCAAAAACTAGACTTCAAGTTGTAATAGCTGTTATTTCTGAAACTGCATAAACCTGTCTTCACATGGTTCCCTAAACTGTTTATTTTTCTTAATTTAAAAATCTTAGCTTCCTTTAACAAGGTGAAAACAAAGATGACAAGGAAACAGAAAAGCCAACTCAATACACGTAACAATAAGCACTACTTACAGGCAAGCTACCTCACCAAGGTGGATTAAGGTGAAAGAGAAAGACTGAAGTCCACACTCCTCAAGCTCCATCTCCCATCTGTTTTGCAGATTATATTCCTGTAACTCTGGGTTCCTCTTTCCTGAGCACTGCAAACCCACCATGCTTCCAAAAGCCCTGTCTCTACCTTGCTTTTGTACCCCTTCCTCTGCGCAATTCGCTTTCTACTAAAATACTGCAAAGCCAAAGTGAAGTGTTTCCAAGGAGAACAGTCTCTCAAAGGTTAAGAGCAGTATTTACTGCTCAACCCTGACCTCCATTTTATGGCAGTCCTGAACGTACACACTGAATGACTTCTGCCACAACTGTGACTAAACCTTCTGTACACAAGGCAAGGCTGACATGGCAGTGACAACACCTAGCACACCTACTATGTGACCCAGATCAAGGACCTTTGAACACGTTAGAAAATATTCTAGGTTCATTCATTTCCTCATCACTCTCCTTGATCACCATTAGTGTCTTCTCACATGCTAAATACATTCTTAATAGTGCCACAAAACCGTGCTGACAAAATTGCCCCACTCAAGCCTAAGGGCAAGGTGACTAAAATAAAGATCCAACTTTATTTCTTCTCATTGTTCCAGATATACCATCCTTGTATAGTCCCTTCCAGCCTATCCCTTCCCCCTGCCCTATCCTCTTTGTTCCACCAAGTACATCACATCCTTTCATCCTGCTCCTCTTGCTTACAAAAAGCCTTCAAATTGTATTAAACTCAGTACCTTCACAAGTCACTTGATTCAAAGAAGGCAGATTTCTGCAGAACTGTAAGCCTAAATAAGAATTCTGTTTGAGGTTTTCTGAATTCTGGAAAAAATACAGCTCCCTTTCCTCCTGGTCTCAAATCTAAATCTCAAACAGATCCTCCATGAAATGATTATTCCCTAAACTGCCCTCTTCAGTTTGTCCCATTTTTCTCTATGGCACCTGATGTTACATGCTAACAGTGACTGCAAACTGGTTAACCATAAACTGTATAGAAACTATATAAACCAGGCAGTAATAATCTGCTTTCACATGCACTTCTTCCTAAATGGAGTCTTCCAAAAGCAACCTACCTTTTCTTTTTACAACATGGGGGCACTTGGGGCTCAGAAAGTAAAAAAAAAAATAAAATAGAGAAAGAGAGAGAAAAGGAAGATCCAGAGTAAAAACAACATGGAAGTGTTTGTGGTTGGATGGAACACATTGAGCTTCATCTAAAAGAAATAATTCCTGAATCCTGAGTTATACCAAAGAACTGCAAGTCCTGGCTAAAAAAACAAACACATAAGCAGACTCCTCTTCCATGCCTTTACCTTCTCTCATAAAGTAAGGATACATAAACATTCACCTTTTGATGCTTGGAAATCAGGATGAAAACGTGGGACAAAGAGGCCAACGTGAAATCTTTTATTTTCTAACTGTATTACAAAAGCACCATCAGCACAAGCCACACTAACAGTGTAACATTTCGTCAGTGAGTAGAAACAAGAGGGAGACTTCCCTGAAGAGACAGACAGAAATGAAGAGTGCTATGACTAACTTCCAACAGACCTTATGGAGGAGTCAAATATCCTCCAAATGCGTGATATCATCTAGGCTTGTGCCTGGCATTGGACCTCAACACTGAGATGAAAAAAAAATTCTAACAAGGCCACGTGTAATTATGCTCCATTTTTTTAATCAAAGATACTTCCAAAGGACAAAGCTTAACTGTCATGTTTTACCACTCAACTCCATGTGAGATGTCAGGAAAAAAAAAAATCTGTCAAGACCACTAAAAGACACATCTGTTTGCTGAACACATTCCCCATCAGATTACCAAACACAAAGACGTGAACACTGTCAAACAGAAGGCGCTCACCTATTCCCAAAACCACGTGAGTGCTTCTCTGCCACGCCGCTTTCCCTACCGAATTTCCATGACATTTCCTGGTTCACCTCAGCCGTCCCAGGGAGCACCACTGCGGCACAGCAAATGCCATGAATTGCAAGAAGACATCTGATATCTGTGATATCACACGCTGGGATCCTGCCAGAGAACCTCAACATGCCAAAAGGATTTCGCAGAGGAAAGACAGAATTATAAAAGACTAGCTGAAGGCCCACTGTCAAACTGGATTTCTGTACTTCTTTCTTCAAACACCCTACGTCCCAGGGTTTCCAGGAGCTTTATTAATTACTAAAATTGGAACTGCCCAAATAAAACAAAAGAGTGTCTTTCACCTTGTTTAGAGTGTGCTTTTGACACCACTCCAGTCAGTCCCCCATCCTCTTGGGCTGTGTATTTTATACTAAATGGTACACCTCAAGAACATACTCCTCCATACTAAGAGTTTTCTATCCACATTTTCAGAACAGGAAACCAGAAATGCAAAGCCGTAAGATTTGACAGCAGTGATGAGAAAAGAATACTTTAACCATTATTTTTAAATAGCTGAATAAATTAAATACAATAAGTCTGGAAATACACGTAAAGCTGAATGGTCCTTTTAGCCTGAACAAAAGGAGAAACAAATACATGGCTGCTTTTAATTTTTGCTCAGCCATTTACCCTTAAGAGATCATTTTCAGGCAAGTCCAATGAACGGTCACATTAAGAAACTGTACATGATGCAACTACTTTCTACTGGCATATTATGTAAAAGACAATAATACTACCCCCTGTGTCCTCCCCTCCAAAAAAAAAGAACATTTTGCCAAAACTCTCAGGAGTTTCTGCTTAGGAGAGAATAATACAGAAAAAAAAAATAAGAATAAAGAAGAAGGCAAGGAAAAAAAATGTAAGTTAAATGCAGAGTCTGACAAAATAATTATACAAAATTAAATATTATACCTACAAAAAAAAGGAGTATTTTGACCTAAAAGCACCTATATTTAATGCTGGCAGAATATTAGGTATTAGTTTGCACAAAACGGACAAAACAAAAGAAGAGTAATAAAACAGTTTTGTAAATCAGACAAGGAACTAAAAACTATAGATACTCGAACTCCAAGTATATGCTCAACAGAAAAGCCATTTACAGTGAAGTAGTAAAGGATGTAGAACCAAACCCTTTAAAAACAAATGTACAGTAGTCATCAGTGAAGTTACTGAGTGGCACTTAGACGCAGCTGATCACACAGCACTGGGGAAAAAAAGTCTTATCTTGTCTCCAGCTTCTATCTTACAAGTAAATGGTTAAAATATTTACACTCAGCAGTCTGGGAGCTGCAGTTATTTTCTGTAGCAAGTGTATTTTATTGTGCAGGGGCATCAAACAGCACACAGGACCATCATCACCATGATGTACACACAGCACAAAGACCCCTGCACGTAACCTCCAGCTCAGGAGCTGTGTATACTTCAATACCCAGCATTGTACAGTCACTGAGAACCTTTAAATGTCTGCCCAGTTGTTTCAGTTTTGCTATAGGAGTATGAACCCACTACTGCTTTTTTTCTTTCCATGAAAAAGCCTCTAACTGTTTTCATACTGATCTTCAGCTCTTTCAACAACTCTACGCCAAATAACGCTATTCTAAGAAAGAAAATTAAGTTAAACAAAAATCTAAACTAACTAAGGAACATTCTTCAATTATGTAATAATCCAGTTAGAGTGTTAACTAATGATTCACTGGTGAGGTGAAGTGCTCAGTATCCAGAATTAGGCACAAGACTGAAGGAGTTCTTCAGGAAAATACAAAACATTACACCAATTAACTGGTTCATATTTTGAAAGCATAAGTTGCTACGTTGAGTGGGTTTCTTTAATCAACCTGCTACCAAAGTAAGGCCACCGGAAAAAGGGGTAGCCAGCCTGTCATACTGCCCAAATAAAAAAAGAAATAGACTTTTCTTTATAGTTGTACCAAGTTTGTTAAAGCCAGCCAGTTACGTAACACTTACTTTGACTTATGACCTATTTGCACACTGCTCATACAAAAATCATCATATATGATGCTCTGGCCATCCATTATACACTAGAAATATAGCTTATTTTTTGCAGTGTTTTTATTTTTTTCCCTTAGTTTAGAACTACAGTTTAAAACAGTGGATCACCTAAAATTAACACTATACAGGTATGGTCTGAAAACATGCAAAATTAAAATGGCACGCTCTTCAAAAACAGCGTGCACAGAATACTTCAAAATATTAAAGAAAAATTAACCCTAGCTCCATTTTCCATCTCTCCAGTATTTACATCAGGAAGTGACCAAAAAAAAAAAAAAAAAAAAAAAAGAAAAAAAAAGGAAAAGGAAAAAAAAATAGTTGTGCTATAGCTAACCATATAAAGTCGTATTTTTTAAAGAATATCTGCGGGCACACGTGTGTAGGTGTACCCAGGGCAGCGCTGACCGGATGCCCGGCTGCGCCCGGGTCAGAGCGAGCGGGGCTTTTGTGGTTCTTTCTCCCACCCACCACCCTCCTTTCCCTTATTTTTATTTTGTAAACGGCCTCGGATTATCCAGCGAGCGTGTAACTTGAACCTCTACACCCACGTCTGGACGCGGGTCCGGGTTTTTTTTTGACCAAACGGCGTCGAATTCGCCGTGCCGAGTGTCAGCGGCGCCCAGTCCCCACGCCAAGTTTGCCGCCCGGTCCCGGCGGCTCCCCCGTCCCCGGGGAGCCCCTTCCCGCTGTCACCGCCTGCCCTCGATACAAAGAAGTTCAGCGCCAGCCGTACTCACCCCCGGCGAACTGGCTCTGCGCGACATCGCCCAGCGCCGCGGAACCGCTCGCAAATCCCCTCTGGAAAATGGAGGGGCTGGCACCGGTGCGATCCGGAGGGAAGAGAAGTTATTTACATGCCAGGGCCCGAGCCCAGCGCGGAGCGGAGACGCCGATGCTCAGCACTGCCCGCGGTCTGC